TTCGTCGATACCCAATAATCTTGTACGTAAGGAGGGAGAGGAGGATGGGGAGGTGTTTGTGGATCAAGCCTTGCATCATACATGGATAATGGAGTCAAGACATTTGAATTAGATGAGAGGTTGGCATAACAAGTGTCGACCTCATGGAAACGGCCGATATCATCGTAGAATCGCGCGTAAAGCTTGGCACCGCGCGTACACACTCACAGCTTCTGCAGCATACATACATTCGAGAGTCTTGTATATCTGATGGATAGAGCGAGCGCGAAGTACAGGTCATGCGCCGCCGCAGTAGTAATAATAGTAAAAGTTCCTCTGTCAACTTGCTGAAAGAACTTATTGAGATCCACTGATGGCAGTGTTACCTGATGCACTTATCTGTCTGGATGACAACGGAAAGGAGGCACGTGGGAGGTATAGGACCACCTGGCAGATGGCCCGGGAAGACAATCAAACTGAAGAAGCTTCACATCGATGTGCGCCACATTTGTCACCTAGATCAACAGCACGGCTCATGCAATTAAATGTTTATAAGAGTATTTTTTCTCTTTTTTCTAAGCTAAAAAGTCTATCTAGATCCCGTCCATGGTGTCGGAAATGTCTGAAGTGTCGAAGTTATCGGAGGTGTCGAAGGTGGTGGACGTTGGCGAAGGTGTTGGTGGTGTTGGTGGTGTTGGTGGTGTTGGAGGTTGGAGGTCTCGAAAGTGTCGAAGGTGGCGGGCGACAACCAGTTGCCTGAGTCTACCTGTAGAGGAAGATAGACTCGAGGGCTTGTTGCCCGAGTCGTGCCTGTAGAGGAAGGCAGAGTTCGAGGGCCCATCAGCGATATTGGCTCCGGAGAGCTAGCGCTGGCATGGCCTGAGTCGTGGCTGTAGAGGAAGCCAGAGTTCGAAGGCCGAAGAGGAGGAGGAGCCAAGGCGGAGAAGAGGGGCCAAGGCTGGAGGTAGCCGCTGCTGGAACTCGCGGGTCTTTGGGGACGCCCGCCCCAGTTCAGGGTTGTTTTCTTTGGTGGAGGCTCGCGTATGCAGAAGCACTTAGCGGATGAGGAGGAGGAAGGAAAGAAGAGATGGAGACGGAGAGGGAGGGAGATTGGGGTTATATAGAGGTTTGGGATGGGAGCTAGCTGGATTCTACTGATGGGGGTCTGATTGACCTGGATATCAATTCCGGTGAGGGTTTGAGGGTGTAATTGGCATAAGGTTCGTGATTGTAAGGTTCGTGATTCCCTAGGTTGTCGTGGTTGGGGCAACCTCTTCGTCCGACTTGGACTGGTCCCGGTGTCTACGATGCGGAGCGTTGTGGGGAATGCAAGGACTGGATGGTTGGGAATGCCTTCATTGGGAACGATGACAAACCACCAAGGTTGCGATTTTATCGTGTTGCTAGATGAAGCAACCTCTTTATCCAACACAGGCCTCCTGATGCCTACGATGCAGAATGTTGTGGAGAATGCGACAACCGGGTTTACGTGATGCTCACCGACAACGAGAAGCTGCCTGCGAAGAGAAGATGGTTCTAGAAGATGCTGGATGGGAGTGGAGGATGCCACGAGAGCCCTGTATCGAGGAAGATTTGCTCATGCCTCTGATAATGCGATTGACGATGTCTTCGCATAGCATAAAATCTCACTGATCTCCAAGACGTGTGTCATCGGGTGGTAAACTGGTGCGATAGGTGCACCACTCACGTCTGAAGCTGTACAGCAGCTGAGGGACATGGAACCAATCCTAAGGTACGCAATTGTACCTGCGAAGGAAGGAAGAGGAAGCAACAGTGTCAGTAGGTGTGCGACACAGGGTGAACGCTTACAGGGGCCAATTGCAGTATGGGATCAAAAGAAGAATTACTGAAATCCACCTCCCTTCTAAATGATGAACGCCCTGTGATCTATCTATATACAACCGTGCCGCTTCTTTGTTGTTCTCCCCCGTCCCCCTCGTTCCCCTGCCTCCCCTTTCTAGCTCCTTCCGAAACGATCCTGACAAAAAGATTGACAGAGTCCAGCTGTAGAGGAAGATGGAGTAGACGCCGGGTGCCTCTGGCCCACCTGTAGAAGGATAGGCGAGCCAGGGGCTGGAGGAGTCTGTCTGTAGAGGAAGGCAGAGTCAACTCCGGGGTGCCCGAGTCTGCCTGTAGAGGAAGACAGAGTCGAGGGCGGGTGTCCTTGGCCCATCCTGTAGAGGAGGGAAGGTCGAGCCAAGGCTAGCCGAGTCCACCTGTAGAGGAAGATGGAGTCGAAGCTCTTCAAGCTTTTGACCCGGAGGCAAGCTTGGAATGTCCCACCCGAGTCATGGCTGTAGAGGAAGCCAGAGTTCGAAGGTAGGTAGCGGAGTCCGTCTGTAGAGGAAGATGGAGCCGAACGCCAAAAGCGAAAGCCTGAGATAAAGCTGTAGAGGAAGCTGGGATTGAAACTCGAAGGCTGTAATGGAAGATGAGGAAGAAAGAGAAGAAAGAAGAGGAAATTGGCAGGGAGGGATCGCAGGTTTCTTATTCACTCCTCCGGGGGACCTGTTTGGCCTGGAGACCGGAACAGCTGGTCGAGGTTCGGTGAGGGCCGGTAGATGTGTCGTGGATCTACGTTTCATCACCACCTTTATGTCCGGTATTTGCGACGGTACCACACAAATGCCAGAGTTAGACTGGCATTAATGATTGATTGAACTGTGCTTTACCTTTCCGGCCGGGGAGACGTTCGGTGAACACAGAATGGATTTCATTAACGGTATATGTCGCATGCGAGTGGATACTCAAGAGACGAAGTTGGCCAAATCCGACTTTTGATCTTCAATCTTCAATCTATACACAAAATCGTAGGCTCAGGTCTTTCATACATATGTACAGTGCAGGAAAGATAAGATCACGGGAAAGACAAGCCCCGTTCTGTTGCTGGCTTTACCGAAAGTGTGTCACTCTACAACGACGAACTCGGAGTTGCCAGAGCCCCCATAGTAACAGTAGAACACGGGGCGCCATACAATTCCGGCTTCACAAAGCTTGGTTGAGGGTTGTTGCCTAGAGCCAAGAGAACCAGAGAGTCTGTCTCTGGGTTAAACTTGGGCCAACCAATCACCTCACTCAACCCATTCTGGGGGTCATTCGAGAACGCAGCCCAGGCTCGCTGCATGACCTTGGTAGTCTCCCTTTGCGCGTCTGAAGGAGGGATACCGCTGACGTCTTCGGATGCGCCAAAGATCATGTGCAGATCGACGCCATGGTAGGCGCCGCTGGTGGGGAAGAGGCGGGTGTTGTCCCAGTCGCCAAAGTAGCGGTAGATCCAGGCCGGCACGCCTTGAGCGAGGCGTGCGTTGGCTTGGTAGAGGTTGGGACATGTGAAGGACTCCAACAGGAAGGATGCCACTTGCTCTGGAGTTGGCACTACGCCGTTGCCGTAAGCTGGTATCCGGTAGTATCCGTCTTCGTTGTTGTTGTTCCCGAAAAGAATGGGCTGTTTTCTTGTTTGAGTAACAATTTGAGAGGGACTGAGAGGGTTGGATACTGACCAACTTGGCAAAACTGCCGTTCTTTGTCAAGGAAACGTAGTCTGGAAAGACAATCTCGTTGTCGACAATGGGATAGAATGGGGGAATAGAGCGGAGAACGCTGCTACTGGAGGTCGGCTTCACAGCCGCAGCGGCCGCCTTGATATCCTCCCAGTCTTTCTCGCGCATGCATGCCAGGACGTCCTCAGAGCCAGTGCAGTTAACAGCCCCAACAACAGTGTTCCAGTTCCGCTCAGGTATGCCCGGGCTATTCAACGGGAAGCTGAATGCGTTCCCCGACGGCGCGATGAGCCCGTTCACAATGGGGTCTTGGGTATACGCATATGACCAGTAATCCACGCTAACGCCGCCGGATGATTGTCCGGCAATGGCGATCTTGCTCGGGTCGCCACCGAAGCTGGCGATGTTGGCATGCACCCATTCGACAGCGGCACGTTGGTCTCTCAGACCAAGGTTCTGCGGCTGCCCAGTGATTCCAGGGAACCCGAAAATGTTGATGCGGTAGTTGACCGTCACCACTACCACGTCTTGAGCGTCTGCGAAATATTTGCCGTTGTAGAAGGGGCTATTGGTGTTGCCGATGGCAAATCCTGCGAATTCAGTCAGCATCTGGGTAGAAGTCCGCTGCAGGCTACTCACGTCCGCCGTAGAAGAAGATAATCACAGGCTTGTTGGAAGGCTGTGACCTCTTTGCTGGTTTGGCCCAGATGTTGAGGGTGAGGCAATCCTCGCTTTGAGGAGTGCCCGCGCCGGAAGCGAAGTAGCTGATGATGCGCTCGGCTTGGGGAGTCATGTCGGGATAGTCCACTTGTTTGGATGGCGACAGCGGACAGTCGAACCCGAACTTTGATGCCTCATATGATGCATTGCTCGTGAATTGCACCGGCGGAGCGAATCGAAGGTCGCCGACGGGAGGTTTCGCGTACGGGATTCCGAGGTACTCAATCACGGCTGAGGCATTGGACGCGATATGTCCGGTGATGGGGCCATTCGTCGTGTTCACCGTTAGCCGGTCTTCCCTATGGTGGTTTTGCGAGGCGGCGACGAGGCTCGCAAAGGCTGCGAGACCAACCTCAAGCCAGAAGAGACGCATCTTCGGCTTCGAGAGCGATGTTGAGGTGAAGTTGAAGTTGCTCAAAATCGCGGAACTTTGGTGTTCTTTTGTGTGACCGCCACAACGTTGTATTGGGCTTACTGAACCCGCTTTTGCCCCCGAATCCTTCTGAATGATCGCTGTTCGTTGAGCTAAAGCAACTCCCATGTTCGCTTCTGCACCGCTAATCACCGGACGGGAAACAGCGCCGCAGCTAGCTGGATCGAGCGGCTCGTACGGAGACAGCGTCCCTCGTCATCAAGAATGATTTGCTCGACCCCCGTGAAAAATAGATTGTGATGATTTGCGTGGATCGGACTCTCACATTACGCCGAAATGGAACAAAATAGAGTCGCATTGCCGATCTCTGAATCGACCCCTTGTACGTCCGCTACAACTCTCATTGCCTATTCATCAAAGTCTTGTCGGTCCAATGCCACCCCACGCCCAAATGAATGAATATCAATGGTCGAGATCTCTGACCTTGAGAGCTCATCCTGCAAAACAACCGACCTACCCGTGGTAAACAGTAGAACCTTCCATTTGTCTCCGCGTAAGATCTTCAGGAGATCGGAAAGGTAGTTGTCGGTCCCTCGATCAGTAAGCCAATGAAGACCATCAATGATGCATAGCACTGGCCCGGGCATAAGACCGCCAAGATCAGCAAGAATTGAAGTGGCCTGGCTCCAAGTCCCCAGAGATCCGTCAAGAGCTGTAAACCATCTCTCCGAAAGGTCGATAATAGTATCTAGCAACGGAGGAAGAAGCTCGATCAGCTGCCTGATGAGTGCATAAACCAAAGATAGCATCGCTTGTGCCTCCATGGTGTCGTTCCCATCCCTTAACCTCTCGCCTCGCCTGAGTTCGCAGAAGTACGAGATGACCGGCAACTTTGTTCTCTCGGCAAGGGCTATGATCGTAGGTGCCATCATTGTGACTGGATTTTCGAAATCATCACCATCCACCGGAGGACCTTCAAGCCACAGCAAGTTTGGCGCCGGTGCCCTGACCCAATCACCGATTTCCCTGAATGACTCTGGTGGTACCATTATTGACTCAAAGGCTTCGTGTGAGAGTCGTACTCTGTCTCGGTAGAAAACGTCTTCGAGTTGACGGGAGCAAATGGCAACCTTTTCAGAGGTATACTCCGATACTGCGTCAGCAAAATTAGCAGTTAGACCCTAGCATAGACCAATGAAGCTAGCATACCTTGTGCAGGCCCATCTAGTGATACGAAAGCCGTGGAAGACAACTCCTGCCTGTTCGTTTGGGCTTGATTATATTCCAACCAACGGATCGCTTTCTCTTCCAGCAAATTGACAATGCTGTTGGCCAGCTGCTGCTGCTTTTCAGCAGTCCACATTCCTGATATCCGACTTTGCTCCCTCGAGATACTCTCAGCACAGTACTTCATCTCTGCCTGATACCGCTTCTCACCCTCAAACCCCGCCCGAAGATCTCTCGCTGAACTCTCTACTGTCAATCTTAAGGATCTGAGTTCTGCTCGAGATTTCTGCGACGCTAGGTTTCGGATACGATCCGAGATGCCTTTGATCTTGTTCATTTCGTTCTCAAAAACGCTGGGCAGATCGTCGTTGAATGAGTCAAGTAGTCGTTTGACCCTCTTTTTCATCATCCAGTCCATGATGCTACCCATGAAAAGAAAAATGTGAGCATAAAGCTCCGCAATGAGGGTCTTCATGTCCTCCATGTTGAACAACTCGAGGTCCGTTTTGCAATCATCGACATGCTTACTTATGATGCATAGTGATTCCGAAAGCCCTTCGGCAATCTTTTCGTGGTTGGCACTTGCCTGGACAAAACGTGGGTTAGCTCAGCTCCGCCGGCGACATCTTCCTCAATTAGGTAAGTGGAGACGTACTTGTATCAACACATTGAGAGTTCCAGTAAAGATGGAAACGTATTCGTTTCCGGATGGCAGAATTTCTAAAAAGGACTGATGAGATTTGAGAGTTCCGCAGAACTGGTGGAATAGTCGCTTGGCTCTGCCCAGCCGGCCATTGCTGCGCTTCAAATCCCACGCCCGTTGAATCTCATGAACAGCATGAATAACTCCATTCATTGTAGGTTCGGATAATCTGATATTCAGTCGGTCTTTTGCTGTGCTAGACCCTTCGAATACCTTCCATTTCTCACGTAATTGCTTGGTCTCGACGTCGAGGACTTGGGTGACTGGGTTCGAATTTCTATGGGACTGCGTGAGCGCCAGCTAATGATGCTGCATTATCAGTGGAGGTTCATACCTGGATTCTTCATTGTCAAAAGGTGACTCGAAGAAATACCGCCATGGATCTCGAACGTCGTCTCTGCCTCCTTGGTGTTGAGCCCATACGTGCGCCAGACTGTGAGCATCCCTGTCTGGGGGTAATCGTTCTTCGACCTCGAAGCTGTATGCGCGGACAATTTGTCTAGATTCGCTGATAATATTCATTCTGACCACGCAGAGATAGCGTAGACTGTTTCGTGGCCAAATTCGTTGAGAGTGGTACACTAATCAGCAAGCTTGGGATGGATGGGTGATGGATCAGGCTGTGAAAGAACGCGAGCAGAGGGGTTGAAGATAACGGCTGAAGCGAGACCAACCTCATGTACCCTCAACAAGTGAGGCGTCTAAACGATTGGATATTATTCTGCCCAGAATCATCTGCAGCTGACATGCAGCAAATATTGCATTTCAAAGGATGCCACCAATCCAAAGGAAGCTCTCGTTACACACAACGTCTGTCGCCGGGGCTGAGCCCGTAGGTGGCCGGTTACCCCGCTCCTATCGCGAATTGATAAATGCCGCGGTTGTCTCTATTTTCTATAAGTAAGTTCAAATCCCTCGTTGGAAATTTTGACGCCCTATCCAAGAAATGCGATCTAATCTCTTCTTTTCGCAAGCTTGAGCGCTGAAATGTCGGCCGCTAGCACCACCACCGATTCATCGAGACAGGTTTTGGAAGGGGATGAAAAGGAGGAGCCTGAGTCTCACCCATGTGCCGATGTCGAAGACGATGCGGTTGCTGAAGAGAATGTCGGGAATCTCACCGGAGCCGAAGACGCGCTAGACGAGCTTGGACAAGTCGAAAGGGATGAGGTCGCCCACGAAGCTGAACCGGCAAATCCGAGAGTCGGCTACCGTGTCGAGTATCGAAATCGACGGACGAATGAGTTTATATCACACAGAATCCATGATGGAACCTACGCCCCAGACATCGATCAAACAGGGAATCCTATTTTTGAAGTGATAACTTCCTACAAAGTACTCGCAGACACGACCATAGACCTAGCTGTCAACTCCCTAGCTCTTCCGACTTACAGTCTTCGAATCCACTCCCTAGCGCTCATTAACGCCATTCAATCGGTGGTACGGTACTACCCGGGCCAAGACCTATCCGGGGAGTATATCAACGTTCCATGGCCCTATCCAGTCCTGGTTCATCACTTCGATGAGTTACACCAGTTTCGCCAGGACTGTTTGTCCAAAACACGGGATGAACTCTGCAGTCGAGAGAAGGATGCTGCTGAACACCTTCGTATCCTTATTGAATACCTAGAACAAGAAGTCATGAAAGAAGTCAGAGAAGAGCAAGAGCGGAATAAAAAGGGCATTGAAACATTTGACTGGATGTGGGTAGCTCACAAACCGGGTGTCACTGTATTCCACAAAGGCCAAACTCATCTCGAATGGGACGCGGGTGTGGTGCATTCCGTCACAGGAGGGACACTCGACAACCCCCCCTCATCTTGGGCCATGGAAATTTGGAAACTTCAGTACGGAGGTAATGTCGTGAACCGTGTCTGGGATGAGACGTTCTTGCGTTGGAAATTTGATGGCGAGAGAAAAGAGATAAGAGAGAATAGTGGCTTAAAGTTCATGGACCCAACGACAAGCGATCAATTCCTCGACGATGAAATTGCTCGTGGACTCATCAAAAGGGGTCAGAGCTATGTGGAGATGCTCAAACCGAGATGCTATCAGTACAAGGGGAAGAGCGAAGACTTCAATTCCATCGGTGTAAGTTCCCTTCCACTATATGTTAAAAGCCCTTTACTAAGACGTGCTTCAAAGATGGACAGTTTGGTGATGGTGGACTTGAAAACAGTCTATGATGATGAGATTGATGAAGTTCCAGTGCAACTAGCGCAACAGGACCTTAGGAGCTGGGTGAGTGACTGCACCTGCGACGTGTGTCGACGGAGGAAGCAAGATGAAAGTCAACTAAAACGCGATGCTCCCCAATTCGTCTCATTCGGCAACAAGACCAAGGATTTCACTGCTCACGAGCTCCTTCTCATGCCAAAGTTTGTCACAGCTTACGTTTTTAGGACTCGTACTTGGGGTGAGAAGCATTCAGATTCCTGTTCCCATGTTTCAGGGTACTGACGGAACCAGAGCCTGTTCGAGTATGTGATCTTCATGAACCCGAATTCAAAGAGAACATGATAAGTCATTTGGTCATGAGTGAGAGCCGTCTGAAAACTCTCAAAGCCTTGTCAAAAAGCTTCACCAGGGTTACTGTGAGGGAAGAAGTCCTCGCAGAAAAACGGTGGAGCGCAGACTTCGTCCGCGGAAAAGGAAACGGACTGATTTTCCTCTTGCATGGAAAACCCGGTGTTGGAAAGACTTGCACTGCCGGTAAAGGGCACACTCTTTGGTCTTCCTTTACAACAAGTCAAGCTAAAACAAATCTTGACAGAATGCATAGCCGAATTTACTCGGCGTCCGTTGATGATTTTGACGACAAGCGACATTGGAACCGATCCCGAAGCAGTTGAAAACAATCTGACAGACAACTTCAAGAAGGCAATGAAATGGAATGCTGTTCTTCTTATTGACGAGGCCGACGTGTTTATGGAGCGCCGTACAACGTCTGATTTGACCCGGAATAGCCTGGTGGCTGGTGAGAACATTGTCTTCGCTTGCTGTCAGGAAGCGTGTCCACTAATAGTCTGATAGGGTTTCTGAGAGCCCTCGAGTTTTATGACGGCATACTCTTTCTGACTACAAACCGAGTGGGATCGTTCGATGATGCATTTATCTCCCGCATTCATATTCAATTGTACTACCCAGACTTCAGTGACGACGAGCGACAAAGGGTGTGGAGGACCTTTATTGACAAGCTGGGCCGAGAGAGGGGCGAGACGATTCGCCTAACCATGGACGCCAAGGAGTATATTGAGTCAACCAGGATGCAGGCCCTGAAGTGGAACGGTAGAGAGATACGAAATGGTTAGTAGCCTGAGGTCATGTTGCATAGTCTGTCGACCCTTGCGCTAATATGTATATGCTGCAGCGTTTCAGACAGCTGTGGCCCTGGCAGAGTATGAAGCGGACAAGGACAGCGAAGGTAGAATCAAGGTGAAGGATGACCATCTCAAAGCGGTTGTCGACCTTTCGAAAGACTTCAAAAGCTATCTGAAGGATCTCCATCGCAAGGACGAGGGGAAGAGAGCAGAGCACAGACACGAGAGATTAGACAGCTTCGAAGGATCTAAGTAAGCGCCTTGACAAAGGTTGGCTTAACTGGTTGAACAGGCAAGTGCCCAAGATTGGTCCGATGGCATATTGTTTTATTGCGAAATGGGTAATTTGAGCTTTTGCTTGTCGTTGTTAAGTATCCTCTTATTCTCTCTCCTGTGGTGACTCTACCGAGACCAAGCTAGGCCTTATTGTATGTGTTATTTGTGCCACTCAATACCGCGTCACTTTACGTCACCAAGGATTGATTTGAGTGAAACGAGACAGCTGATAAGGCATTCTACCTCGGTTTGGCTTGAAGGATTCAACCAGAATCTAGGCGGTCCGCTATACTCTAGTGCGAGGTATGCGCCAAGAGTAAGCTTGTGATCCTTCGAAAACACCTTCCTTGATTAGACAAGCTTGCCAATCCCAAGTTTACCTAAGTCTGTACTGACTGGGGTTGATCAGCTGTTCGAAAGCAGGTATATAGAGCAGCCCTCTCGGGAAACTTTGGTTGGGAATACAATTGAGCCCAAAACACAAGTTCCCGACAAAGCTTCCGTCGCACATCACAGATACTCAATTCAGGTTAGAGGCCTCCCAGTATAAGCACATAACTTTGAGTTGATTATGTGATATGACAATGCTAGACGCTAATGTGAGAAAAGCTCCCAAATCAAAGAAATGGTCAGACTCAACTTCGCCGTTCTCGTCATCGCGGCTACCGTGGCGTTTGCTGCTCCGGAGGCTATCAAGGCACGACAAGCTGCCGGATGTCAGCCTGCAGAGACTGTCTGCCGCGATGGTTGGGCTTGGTGCTGCTCTGGATCTACCTGCTACGAATTTGCTCCTCCCGTGGCTTGTTAAAGACACCAACGTCCGCGAGAGGCATTGCGAATCTGCGGCGAGAATAATGGCTATCGTAGACAGGATTGCTAGAATCAAAATCTAGCCAATGGTCTCTTTTGCAAAGGAAATAGCCTTGTTTGGGATGAGAGTGTGGTACAGAGCATGGATAGCCGTAGCGCTATCTTACATGGACTGGTTTTGCTGCTGTGTTCGTCGCTGCACTTCTCCTGCACAAATCGAAATCATCGAGCGCAGCTGTATTCTCATTATATTCCATCAACCACTTTGACCACCTGGGTCGTCTCTCTCTGTTTGACACTATTATCACATGCAGCGTGAGTCGGCATGCTATCAGACTACGCAGCCGCCTTCTGGCCGTACACAATAACACCGGGGAAATTTCCGCCCTTCTCCGTCATGTCTTTGATGTATCTCTCTTCGAGGTTCTCAAACACGGAAGCTGGCATCTCGGGGCACATCACTAGCGATGCAACGTCAGCTCCATCACAGTTGGCGCCAAGGACGTGACTGACCTTTCGCCTGTCTTGAAACAAGGGCGATTGTGCGTTTAAATGGCTCAATGGACATTTTCATGTCCTCGTCGTTGGCATGTACTCTGCCGACGCCGCAGTTGATCCGCTCCAATTTGACGTTCTGCAACCCCGCCTTTTTGAATGCCTCGGGCAATTTCTGCTGATACCCCCGATCCATGCCCACCTTCTCCATCATCGTTCCGATAATGTGAATGACATCCTTCAGGGCCTGGGGCTGGTCTGGTTGGTCGGAAGACACATCCAATTCCATAGCCTGCAGCCATCCACCAGGCGCCAATGTTTCTATCAAAAGTCAGGCCACAATGCAACTCAGAAGTGGCGGGAAACACGAATACTCACCCGCAAGATTCGCCACGGCCTTCTCAACGCCGGATTTACTTGTGCTGTGAAGTACGTTGCGGACATGGGTCATGTCGAACTTTCCCTTGAGGTCGTCGGCGGGTGGATCGCAGACGTCCTGGGTTACGTAGCGGATGTTGCCCTGAGCTGACGTGGGCATGAAAACGGTCGACACGTCTGCGCCAACCAATTCGGCGGAGGGTGGGACTTGTTTCTGCAGGTCCCTGAGAAGCGTCCCTAATCTTGCGCGTCAACTTCAGGTTCTGGTGAATGCAACTGGCTACGAGAGCAGCGTACCATCGGCGCAACCCATGTCGAGGACCTTTAGTCCGTCTTTCTTGAGGTCGACGGGGGCGAATGCGATTTTGTCGTTGAGGCACATCTGGATCCAGCGGTGCTGGATTTGGAGACGCTCCACTTCGGCGTCGGCGTTACCAACCATGGCCAGGTATGACTTGTCGTCCTGGGCCTGGGCCTGGGCCCCGTTTGCACCGTTTGCGCCGTTCATGTTGAAAGTATCGTGATAATTGAATTAAATAGCTGAGATTTAGAAGTAAGAAAGAATTGATGAATCACCAAGAGATGTTGAGAGATGGTGGAAGAGCAATCACTTATTATATGCAGGTCATCGTCCCAAGCTTCAACACCAACTCGCGAAAGTCTCAATGTCAGCTGCTAGAGGCATCGGCAAAAACATACCGAAAAGCGCTGGCTACCGAAGAGACGGTAGCCAGGGCGCAGTTCTAGAATGCGACAGCTAGTCAGAATATTGCCTGTTTCGACCAATGGCTACCGCTCAGTACCTACTTTTGCCATGCAAACTCAACCAGAAAGCCGGGGAGCATGAACTTCAACTTGTGTTTGCAGTATGGCAGAAGTTTCGATTGCTCAGGAAACAACATGGAATGGCAACATGCCGGTTAGCGAGCCTCGAGATACGGATCCGATAGCGATACCGAACGGGCTTTGAGAGCGCCAGAGCGCAATAACATTTATTCCATCGAGAATCTCACTTTCAGACGATCCGATTCTCCGTCCGTTGAACGAGCAAACTACTCGACTTGACAACTCTCCCTCCGGCTTCAGATGGATGGGGAGTTAGGGATGGTGAGGTCAGTGACGTGTTGGTGGGAGGGAGGGTTCATCGGGTGCGGGCGAGAGGGGCCGGCCGAGCTCCACGTTTTCCCTTCCCGTTTGCCCCTTGCCATCAAACATGTGCCTGGTGGCTCGAGCCACGCAACAGGCACTATCAATCAGTTACAGACGTGCGGACTAACCGAGGTTTACGCTGTCATGTTGCTTCTGTATTTAATTCTGTTTCGTTTGCAATTGAGTTCCCCTTTGTCAGCCGACTGCAGCAAGTCTATGCATGCCCCCGGCGTACTTTCATCTGCTATGCCGCTTCCGCCGTCCGCAGCCGTGGCGGCGTGGCTCCGTCTAGTCAGCCGGACGGGGGCCGGGACGAGAAAAGCATCAATTCGGGGCTGGGCACTATTCGGGTGATCCGAGTAGATTGTCGCTTAGAGGCATGGCAATTCGGAGAATCCTGCATAGCAATTCAGCCGGCGCCGAGCGGTTCCTGGCGTGCCTGGCAGAAGAACGGATGGGTTACAATACTGTGTCACATCGCCCGAGCCAAGCGGGTTGATCCATGCCCTGCAACGTATATCACTGCGCGTATCTCAACATACATGAAACCGCTGCCCCAATCTTGAGCTAAATAAGCAAAGTCACGCCATCCCTGGGAAACACTCACTGTAGGGCTGTTTCTCAGCGCCCTTTGGCTGCTCTCTCAGTGCCGCTGTGCCGCTGCCCGCATGGCACAGCAGTCAACCCTTGAGTCCCTCACATTGCCGAGTCATTCTGGCTGATCCCCTTACCACCTTCCCTCATGGCGCGTGCGAAGATCCGAATCTCTTACGGCCATTGGCTCCACCCCAGAGACGATCAAGGTTTGAACATTGATTAAGAGCCATTATCATCCCATCTAAGCCGTCCGCCGCTGTCTCGTACTTAATGACCCCGTCTACCCTCCATCTTCTTCGACAGTGTTTCGTGTTCGCGAGTGTCAAGCCTCAGTGTGTGGAAAAAAACTCCGTCCGTTGCTCTCTGTCCTTTTTGCCTCTCTCGAGTTGACCTCGACACCACCGTTCACTCCTTACCACCACGCCTTACACCGCGAACGCGAAATCGATATCGAACCGCAGCGCAGATCGCTTGCTTCGACAACCGTCATCATGAAGGCCACATTCGCTTATGTCATGGTCGCCGCGCTCTTCGGAGTGTCGCAGGCTTCCGTTACCCCGCTCAACAACATCATCCGCCATGAGTACAACCTGAACGCCAGAGCTGGTGTTCACGGCAACCTGGCTGCGATCGCTCGCCGTGATGAGGCAGCGGCGCACACGCCCGAGTCCGACGTCTTGCAACCCGTCGTCTAAGACCACCACAAACACCGAGCACACGATGGCAATCCCAAAGCTACCACATGGGCGCACCGGCAACACCAGGCAACGGGCCACTTGGTCCGCCAAGTCTTCTTCACACCAAACGGAGCACAGCCAGATGCATGGCTCTCCAAGCAACTTTCAACCTTCAATTCTTGCATGCGTTAGACATGCCACCTAGGGTACATGAGCGGGAGTTTACGGGCGAGTTGGGAATATGAGGGAGGCGTTCGCAGGATCCGAAATGAATTGGGGGTTGACCGGGCACGGGAAAACGGGACACGGGAGGGATGATGGCGGAGGGCGACTTGGCCGGACTGGTCTCAACAAACATGACAGACACCACGCTTGACAAGATTTCATTTTTTTCTTCCAACAAACAAAACAGAATTCGTTCATCTCATCACACACCTGCCCCTCTCGAACAAGATTGACGTGATTTAACCTGCATCAACCCCTGCCGATAAGATCCCGCCCTAGCTGAGCTATTTTCTCAGCCCAGCGCTATCGCTGATAAGTCCAGGTGTAATTCCACGTCTTTTGCCCTTGAACCACCAAGTCGTAGTCCACCACCAAGCGATCATCTTCCGAAGTGTCGAAGGAAACAACGCCGAACTTGGAGCTGCCCCAAGGATGCGAATGCACAGAGACGTCCGTGTCCTCGATCTGCCTGTGATACCGAGTGAACGGTTCGTAGAACTGGTTTAGAGGGGACGTGGAAAATTCTATGATCGCCTTCCCACCCTTGTCGCCAGGCGGGAAAATTGTCGTCGCGTGTTCATGGCGATCCTAAAAAGCAATGTTAATCTCGACAATCACAATAGAGGAGATTGCCATCTCCACTGCAGTTTTCGGCCGGAGAGAAGCTTAACTCACCCCACTCAAGATAACCACTCCCTCGGTCAACCTCATCATGTCTAAGACCTGCCCCCGCTCGTGGAGGTATCCGGACCAGCTGTCGGCCGAATCGGGTCCCCTCCAATTTCGCGTGAAGGGCACGCTGCTCACGACGACCTTCCATGCTTTTTCGGACGCCAGCCACGCCTGGAGATCCGCGAGCTGGGCGGGGCCCAGCATCGTCTTGCCGGGCCCGTCGTCCATGGATTCCGCAGATCGGTATCGTCGGGTGTCCAGGACGAAGAAGGAGATGTCCCCCCTGCGGAAGATGTAATGCGTCTTGCCGAGGCCGAACTGCGACGAGGGGTTCGCGTGCCCCTGGTAGGCCCAGAACGGCTGCATAGCGGACTGGTACAACCCTGTCTCGTTGGCGGCCCAGTCGTTGATGATTTCATGATCGTCGTAGAGATGGAGCCATGGCAGGGAGCGGAGTGCCGGCGTCCAGCTTGGCGAAGCGTAAACCTGGCGGTAGGCGGTGGTGTAGTCCTCAGGGGTCCAGCCCAGGGCGATGGGTAAGTCGATGTAGATGAAGTCGCCGAGGAAGAGCATCATGTCGACCGGCTTCTGCATGAGATATTGGTCTAGGTATTCGAGCCCCTTGATTCTGAGACCATGATCCACCGGGCTGTAGGGGTAAAAAGGCTTTATGCAACTAGTTGACACTAGACTCCATCGCTTGGGGTCTCTGGCTGCTGTCTTGAATGAGCCTGCATGGCTTGCATTAGTAGTGTAATAGTACTCAGTATTGGCTTCGAGTTCTTCAAAAAGGAATGTTCCGGTATAGTCGTTTGCGTCGGTCACAGTGATGACCTGAGACTTTGGCTGCCTTGCATCTTCATCCGCCGAAGTAAGTCTAATTTCGACATGTGTGATAGGCGCAATTGGGGCACGAGCAACGATGCGCGCTGAGGTCTCGTCGACGTAACCCACACGAGAGAATGAGATGCCGTTGCTTTGATGAAGGTAATGACTTCGATACAGGAAGTCCCAAACGGCTCCCAGAGACAGTAGATTCAACAAAATCGTAATGAAGCTCGAAAGAAACTGCCTTGAGTCCACCCAGCCACATAGGAGCAGCAAGCTTGGATGACGGCGCTTAGGCTGAGAATTGCCCGAGAAGAGTTTTGCGATGAGGTAAAGGACGTAAACCGCAAAGTTGCCGTAGATGCGGTTGAGATACTTTCGTCCCAGAGGATGCTGTCTCAGTGTTAGCTGTTTGACTTTTCCATAGACAACTCGAAGTTCAGATAGTCAAGTACAAATCTTGTGAAAATCACCGCAGTGATCCTGAGAGTGAGCGTCGTGATGGCGGCCACGGAATCCAGAACGCTTGACAATGCCATATTCAGACTGCTTGTACCCTGGTTGGTTGTTCCCCCGATGTTGATTTTAAGTTGCTTCCGACGCAAGACGGTTTGTCATCCGTTTATCAGTCGACATGTTCGGTCAAAGTTGGTAGGAGGAGAGACCTAGACTTCCTAGTTTCTCACCCTCTTGCCGAATCTTCAGCCCAGGTCCGTGGTCTTGGAAATATGGTCCTTGTCCGGTGGAGGTTCAAACCTTCCATGAAGTGGCCAGCAATCCAGTCTTGCCAATGAGGAAGACACGTGCTGCATCTCGTCGGCTCAATCAGCAGTTTGCAGTTTCTAAGATTCACCAAGAGGGGCCTGTGGGCTGGCATGCGCGTCCCAGGCCGCGTTCCCGAGCCGATCGGATTTAAACCGACTGTTAAACACACATCCAAACGCTCTCGAATTGCAATGGCCCCCACCGAAGGATTGTGTTCACGAACTGGTAGGGTTCATATCGGAACCAACATGTGGACCGCGGGCAGCGGGACTCCACTCCGATCGACGTCTGACAAGTCCGCATTCCACCACGTGGGTGCCGTTGAGCGCCGGGACCCGACGGATTTCCTCCGACAGCGGGGACTTCTCAACAGCATCCAATAGAGAGGTTTTAGAGCTTGTGAAAGCTTGTTTTCGCTCTTAACTTACTGGCGAGGAAGCTCGTCCTTGTCATGCGAAGGAACGCTATGCTCCTGCAAGAATCAACTTCCGGTATTCCTGGTTTCGGTCATGTTCCGTACATCTAATTGCCATCCTTTATCAGTCCTTGAGTGCAAGTTTTCAAGCACGTGCCCAATGGTTCGCGACGACTGGCAGCTCCCAACCATGAGAATCACTATTGAGCTCCAATGGCCGGCACATTTTATCCAACTTGGCGGGGGACCGGGAGCCACCAAGTGGTGCGTTAACACATCGAGTGTCGGTTCGCGCCCGGATTCCTTCTGGTTTTGCGTGCGAAACCCCGTCGAAGATCTTCAAAGTCCTTGCGTACCGAGGGCTTGGTATGATCAGGGGTTCCACGTGCAGTAGCTGCAAAACTTCCAGGTGCCGGGACTGTACCATACTTAAGTCTTTGGTCGTCCATATTCCGTCTCGACCGAGAAACTTTGGTGGAGTTAGCCTCAAAGTCGCATCGAACATCTTCAACATGGAGACCGTAACACGCTCAGAAGCAGGCTCCGAGTCCGCCAACGACATCCCACAGAAAGATGCCGGAGTTGTCGTCACATCCCGAGACGACGCCTCGTCACAGGAGCAGACTCCTCCGGCCAGGACGGCTGGCAAGCTCGATGTGCTGGTTCAAGGTGTCGCGCTGTTCTCGGATGGATACAACATTCAGATCATCGGCTACATGAACACGGTCTTGGCGAAGCTGTAAGTTCCCAAGGTCCAGCATGTTCCGTCGAAAATCGAACCTTTTGACTGACATTCTCCCCAGCTATCCGAAGCAAATGACTAGCGAGGTCAAGACCAGACTTTCCAACTCCATTCTTATTGGTGACATTTTTGGCATGCTCATCTTTGGACTCTGCATCGACAGGTTCGGCAGAAAAGTTGGCATCGTACTCACCACTTTCTTCCTGGTTTTGGTGAGTTGCTAGCTGTTTACTCTTCTAGCAAAGACATTACAGCTAAGATATTCAGGGTATCGTGATTGCGACTGCCGCGCATGGAACTTCCGTGGAAGGAATGTTCTGGATGATGGTTATCGGGCGTGGAGTCGCGGGAGTTGGTGCTGGTAGGCCCATGCGGACGCCTTCATTCTAATACCTCGACTCACCCTTTCTAGGTGGAGAGTACACTGTCTGCACATCCCAAGCTCTCGAATGCGCCGACAGTACCGAAGCCATGCGAAGGCGGCGTGGAATGCTCGTCGCCGTTTCCACGAATGCTGCCATTATCTCGGGTTTCGTAGGCTCCAGCATCGTCTCTCTCATCGTCGTCGCAGCTTACAACGGCCAAGCCAGCGACGGTATTTGGCGCATTTGTTTCGGCATTGGTATCTTCGTAAGTAGATCGTTCCGGTTCCCAGAGCCCCAGAAGGCTGACTATCGGCTTGAAAAGCTCCCCTTGGTGATTTTTTTCTTCCGCATGCGACTCGTCGACTCCCAGCAGTACAAGAAACATGCAATCCAGCAGAACATTCCTTACAAGCTTGCTCTGAAGTTCTACTGGAAGCCTCTCCTCGGCTGCTGCAGCGCCTGGTTCCTCTACGATGCCGTGGTCTATCCCTTCAACCTCCTCGCCCCTACCCTAGTCTCAGGTTTCTCCTCCCAGCAAACCATGATCCAGTCCATCGGTTGGTCGGCATTGATCAATGCGTTTGCTCTTCCCGGCGCTTTTATCGGAGCGTTGTTGATGGACCGCATTGGTCGCCGCCAGACATACGCCCTCGGCTGGGCCATCGTCTGCATTTTCGGTTTCGCAATCGGCGGGTCCATGATCCAGCTCAACAACGTCTTCCCTCTGTTCGTCACTTTGTACGGTCTCTTTCAGACTTTCTTGTCTGTGGGACCGGGCGACTGCAACTTCCTCGTTTCCAGCGAGTCTTTCCCGACTCCGCTCAGAGGGCACTTCCTTGGATTTGCGGCTGCGGTCGGTAAGGCTGGTGCTGCTGTTGGAACGACGGCACTCAGCGCCGCTCTCGCCAGCTTTGATGATCGCCTGAAGGGCCAGCAAGCCATTTTCTTGATTGGAAGTGGCATTTCTGTCATTGGCACTCTGTGTGTCTGGTTTCTGATTCCTAACGTGAGCTCCAAACCCTCTCCCCTTCTCCTTTGCCCTTTTGACTTAGCTAATCATGTGCAAAGGCTCCTAAACATCTGGAGGATGAGGATGTGAGATTCAAGAAGTATCTCGAGGCGAATGGATATGATACCAGCAATATGGGGTTGAAGGCTTAGTAGTCATTCGACCGATAAAGCCGCCTAGACATCACAGGCTCCCAGCTTTGAGAAAGAGGAAGGGACAGAAGGTGTTTTCCATCAAAAGCAAATGTATTTCGCTACCTAATAATGCAAAGGAAAAGCACGCGCATTCTATAATGATGTGGCCTTCTCCGAGTTACCGCCGATTTGCCTTGTCCACAGATCCATGTATCTGCCTCCAAGAGTCAGCAACTCATTATGAGTTCCACTCTCTACTACCCTTCCCTCATGAACCACGATGATCTTGTCTGCACTGACAACCGTAGATAGTCGATGCGCAATGACAAAAGTCGTCCTGCCCTCCTTCAACACGTCCAACGCGCCCTGGATGCTCGATTCCGTCTTGGTGTCTACCGCGCTGGTAGCCTCGTCGAGAATAAGGATTGGCGGGTCCTTCAAGAAAACTCGTGCAATAGCCAGTCGCTGGATCTCACCACCTGACAGCTTGACACCCTGCTCTCCCACACGACTTTGATAGCCATCCGCAAACGACAAGATCCTGTCGTGGATTGCGGCCGCTCGGCAGGCATCGAAGATCTCCTCATCCGTGGCCATCGGCCGGGCGTAGCGGAGATTTTCCATGACTGTTGCATTGAACAGCAACGGATCTTGCGGGACGACGCCAAGGGCATCTCGAAGTGAGCTGAGGGTAATGTCGCGAATGTCGTGGCCGTCGATAGTGATGCGGCCGGAAGTCACATTGTAGAATCGAAGCAGAAGTTTCATGATGGAGGACTTTCCAGCACCAGTCTCTCCGACTAGGGCAATGGTATGCCCTGGCGCAGCCGATATGTTCAGGTCTTGAATCGTAGGCCGTCTTGGATCGTAAGAGAAGCTGACGTTCTCGAACTCGACGTGCCCCTTGACGTCCCTCAGCTCTCTTGCATTGTCACTTTCGACGATCGTTGACTTGGTTTGGAGGAGATTGAGAAGACGCTCGGCATCGACCAGATCATTCATCAAGTACCGGTAATCGTGCGAAAGCCACTTCAATGGCCAGACCAGATAGTCCCAGTACTGAAGCAAAAAGACAAAGTCGCCCGCAGTGGCTCTGCCTTGCGAGATCTCGCGCAAAACCAAGCTGGCAAGAACGAAGAAGGTGAGCGGAACAGCCATGTCGAGAAGGCCTTGAACCAGGGCGTCGCCAATACCGTATCTACGGCTCGCTTCAAGTCGAGACTCAACGGTCTGGCCAAAGCGACGCTTCTCATAGCCAAACATGTTGAAGTAAGTGACAGTCTGCCAACCTTGGACAGCCTGGTGCATGACCCTGGCCTCCTCTCTCTCAGCCTTGCTTGAGGCTCGCTTGTTTTTGATGTTCATGCTGGATGTGTAGACTTCAAGTGTCATGAACGCTGCCGCGGCCAAGGCCATGGCAAGAGCGAGGTAGACATTGAACTTCCAGTAAAGCAGCCAAAATGCCACAAACAGATCGATGACGGTAGGCAGTATCTCGTTGACAGCGGTGTCCAGAACGTTGGTGAGCGACTCGCCCTGCTCAATAGCCTTCATTACTTCAGCTGAGTCTCTCTCAGAATGAAACTCCATAGACAGGCCCATGACATGACCAAAGGCGGCGTTAGTAACTTGGCGGTAGGAGAATTGCTTTATCGGGATCTTGGCGAGCGCGTCAAGAAGACCGAGGCCTGCATCATCCTTCAGAATGACCAAACCGAGCCAGATGGCAAGAGTCCCGTAAGGAGCCTGGTTGTTGAGGATCTCATCCGTAACGCGGCCTAGCTGACTTGGGATCAAGACGTTCAAGACTCTCCGTCCAGCGATGGAAAATAAGCAAAGAAAGATGGAGAGCTGGACTTTCCGGTCTTTCTTTGGGATCAGATAAGGCAGAAAGATGGCGAAGTCTTTGATGTACCCTAGCCAACCTCCCGTCTCTTTAAGTCGCTTAGCACGGCGGCGTTTGATGCTGGCGCTGTCATCCTCGTCATCTTCGGAATCGGAGTCAGAGTCCTTGCTGGCCATTTCCGTCTCAGTATCGTCGCTAAATGGCACGCTGCCGTAACAAGTTGAATCGCTTCTGTCGGTAGATGAACTCGCCCGGAGGAATGGCTGGCTTTCTTCCGAGGGATCTTGTTGATTCTTGCTCAGTGATTGACTTAGCCGGACCGAGAGAAGGAGCAACACAGCCAGCAGGCGGACTGCCTGGCAGCAGAGAATGGCGATTTGTTGGATAGAGTTAAGATCGCCAACAGCGGTCAAAACTAGTAGTGGAGTTTCAAAGAGAACTGTGGCGGCGGGAACGCCCAGAGAAAAGCCGCGTCCATGGCGACGAAAAAAAATGACTGTCCAAGCGAAAATAGACACAAAGAGATGAACCAAATGAGATTGTTCAGTTTCCAATGCGTTTGGTTGATTAGCAGTGATAACGAATTCTGAGAAAAGTGTAGAAAAAGTGACAAGTAAAAGAAATAATCGTGGTTTTGATTGATTTTGTGGTAATGGTCGTACTCTATTGTCTGTTACTCGGCGGAGTTGTGCAAGTGTTGAAACAGCTGGGACTAGAGCGACGCCCAGTGCACAGCCGTAGTGAAGGGCTTGACAAGCCCCAAGGCGAGTGACCATACTGGATGGGAGCGGTGACGCTTGGCTGAAGATGATCATGCTTTGGTGAACAGGAGGCTCAAGATCAAGGCGGAAGAAACTTAATAGATATATAAATCTGAGTTGGTTCGAACTGGCGCGTGTGACGTAAGACCAAATGCCGGCGTGCATCGCAAACCAACAACAGTCTGCTTAGCTGTGTACCGTACCCTTTAGTGCTGATTCTGTCATCCCCACTACATTTACGATGTCCCGCAGTGGGCAAGTTTGTCTTGACCTTTTTCGTGTGGGCAGTGCTCATACACTGAAATCTGACTCTTACCGGGCCCGGGCCGTCTCTAGCTAGACTGTTTAGACTGCGCTGAAGCGCGAACTTGAGTCGGAACGCGCGGGCTGCGGCATAGCTGTAGCAGTTCGTCTCTATTAGGCTATCTTCAACAGGTCCTAATTGGACCATTTTCAGTGGTTTGCCGCGGTGTTCTCGGGGTCCACGATGCACAGCCATACCTTCAGCTGCAACCCAATTCATGTTCCCTGTAAATGTTTCTTTCATTTGAGCCAATCCCCACTGAGGCCAAACCCAACTCAATTTCGATGCGATGCTATCCATTCGCAAAAAAAGCAGCAGATCAATCGACATTGGGTGAAAGCAAGTCACAATTGTCTGGGAGCATCATGATGAGCCATCATATGACTCACATATGCACATCAGCAGTGACATGCAAGACCCGAATTGAGCTTTCTTGAAGAAGAACTGTTCTGTTGTCAGACGACAGAACCAATCAACTGATTTCGGCAAAAGTCCTCCACTTGCGTAACGGCTAACATGCTGTTTGGGTGGCGAATTCGATGCTCAACCAACAGTCCGTAAAATTCTGTCCAATTTGTCGACCGCAATGCAGCAAACATGAATCTCAAAGTCTAACTTGTACCGGTTCTCCCACTCCCCTCGATTTACTGGCACCTCATTCGCTTCCAAGACTGAGAGCCGTCATGTTTGTCGCAAGGGCGGCTGCGCCCTGGTGCTTGTTGTCAGGAATCGCAGCCAACTCCTTCAGCTTGGCCTGCTTCTCCATCCACGCTCGTGCTCCACCGTAATTGCAGTTGTAATCCATGAACTCTCCGGGATTCCTGTCCATGTCAGAACCTTCACTATCACCCTAATCGAAGAATAGTTTCACTCACATTGTGATTTTGTTGGTGGACTTGTCAGTTGCTGGCTTGCCTGACTGCCTGCTGTAACCCTGGATGAGCGTTGCGCGATCGTATCTGCATTCGAAAACGGTCTGTTCTGGTTGTTAGGATAAGAAGCATATTGCGCAGATGTTGTGCTTGCCTTCAGCAAACTAGCAACCTCCTCCTCCGTTGGCTTAGTCTTGACATCGGAGAAGATAGCTCCAAGCGCTTCTGCGTCTTCGACACTCTGGCTAGCTCCTTGACCCTGGGTCGGAAGCATCGGGTGGCTTGCATCGCCAATGATGATGGTGCGTCCTTTATGCCATGTCTTCAGAGGATCCTACAAGACAGCTGTCAGTGAAAACCCTCCTGAATTTGGCTTCGACTTACAAGATCACGTAACTGCCACAGGCCAACTTCGGTGCAGTTCTTAAAGACAGCTCTTGCCCAAGGAGGAAATACTTTGAAAGTTTCCCTGAGCTTTTCGGGATCTCCCTTAGTCGTCCAGGACTTGCCTTCTGCATTCTCTTGCATTTGATCTGCTAACTATTAGCAACGGCTTCGCATCAAACGAGACAGCTCACGTACCATCTGGGACCATTGCGACAATGCTGTAAATTGAACCATCTCTAGCAGGGCCCATGATGATTCTTCGGTCATGGCCCATTATCATCGTGGTGATTGACTCTTTGGGGTCGATCACGGATGTGAAGTCTTTGTCTTGCTCGAGTTCCGAGCTGTCAATAATGAGTCGGTACGCTACTTAAGATTAGCTGCTGCAAGATGCGAGAAATACTGCATGTGGGCTCACCCGACAATCCGGTGGGTATCGCGGGAGCCTCTTTTTCAATGACAGCCTGTCTCAGGACACTCTTACTGTCATATAAAGTAAGCCAAAACCGAATTTGAGAAAGGGCGGTAACTTGGACGTGATACGTACATGCCGTCGGCACCTACGACCAGGTCCCCAACGATCTCCTCGCCGGACTCAAGCTTCACAACACCAGCGTCTGGGTCACAACTCGCGACCACGCAACCAGTACGGACAATCACTGGGCCGTCATCTGACGTTTCTCTTGTTGCAGCTTCTTTGAGTGCATCATGCAGATCAACCCTTGGCAGTCAGCTTCTGCATCTTGACTCCATACCGCTCTTCGCCTACCGGTGGTAAACCATGCGTTCCTATGCGGCCGGTCAGTTATCATTGACAGAATGGCTCTTATGCAGTGAAGGATTTACTTACGGCTCCATAGTTCTTCTTGAGATGAAATGGGATCTCGGCGTGAAGTTTGCCGTCGGTGTCATAAATGCGGAACTGGTGAGAACATCAGCGCCATGTAGTTGGATGTCTCGTTGCCTATCAATGCGCACCGCCTTGTCGGCCATGGAGCCCTTCTTGGCAAGTGAGTCTTCGAGACCCCATCCCTTCTCAACAATTCTGCAAACCGATAGTTAGCTAAATGAAAGGAGGTAGCCATGTCCAGGAAGTCGAAGGCAAACGCACTTCGAAGCATTCGGCTGTAAGCTGCGATACCAAGTCGGCCACGTCAGCTTAATCGTTACAGGAATAGGCTCATAGCAGCCTTGTTCATGGAGTCCTACGATATTGTTGCACCGATTTCCTTGTTCAGATGACTTTGTTCTAACACAGTGATGTGCCGATTCGGCCCACGCAATGCAATGGCCTGTAAGTATTAGCAATGATGTGTCAATGACTTGGCAAGGGTTCAACATACCGAGGAGAGGCCTGCGATCCCGCCACCGACGATGACAATGTTAAATGTACTAGAAATGGCAGCCATGGCGATGTATTACCACAGGTCTCACTGAAGGTATGCCGAGTAAAAACGCCCAGAGCACCCTAGCAAGATCAAACACGAATCCTAACCAAGTTTCGACGAACCAAAGTGAATTTTAGACAATCGGAAGATGCAGACTGCTCCGAGGGAAGTCATATGCCTACCGCATCCTCGCTCATGGTAATCATCCTTCAATCAATGGCCGTCCACTTGCCGACGACCCACCGTAGTCGGCACGCGTGCCATGGCAATGTGGAGAAAGTTCAGGGGTACTTATTTCGCAGTGAAATCCGAACCGAACAAACCGAACCGAGGATTTGGAGGGGCCCGAGTGTAAGTCACCACGGGCGACCGTCGTCGACCTCGGAGACTTGGAGGAACCCCCGGGCGCACGGAAAGCTATTATTCAGGAGTAGAATATTGTGGCAAACATCCAAGATATCAATAAGAGCCGCGATCGTCTAACCCGAGTCAGACCTTTTGCAACAGCTCTGCAGCAGTCCAAGACGCACTTGCATTGGCACACGTACATCAACCACATCCAACATGGCCACCACTACCACCATCACTGAGCAGCCCAGCGCTCCCATCACGGCCGTCGACGATGGTCGCATGAAGATGGATGGCTCAGACCCGACGTTTGGTGACTGGAGAGATGATCTTCTTCGCGATGGCTATGCCTTGATCAAAGGTGCCATCCCGAGAGAGCGTGCCGATGGCTACGCCGACAAGATGTACTCAGTCCTTGAGTCGTTGTAAGTAAATATCGCCCTCTAGGAAAAGCTCGAAAGCTGACCAATTTGGCAGTGGTCTTGGATACGACCGCAACGACCCGTCTACCGTTCACCCCGACAAGCTTCCCGTCATCAACGAGAAGGGCATGCTGATGGCCTACGGCGCCTGCCACGAAGACTTCGTCTGGAGCATCCGTAGCGAGCCTGGGGTAGTCGGACCCTTCGAGCAGGTCTACAACACCGAAGACTTGATTGTATCTTTCGACGTCATCAACTATGGCTTCGCCAACCGCGCCAACCTGCCAGAGAATAAGCCTTGGCCTCACCAAGATCAAGTATGTGTAGGACAGACTCAAGACAAGAATCGCTACTAACACCATGCCAGGACCCCGAGAAGCCTGGTTTCCGCTGCCTCCAAGGCCTCGTCAACCTCCACCCTTGCGGTCCCAATGACGGCGGTCTGATTGTCTGCAAGGGCTCTCACAACCTCAGCGCCCAATTCCACGAAGAGCTCAAGGACGAGCCTCGCATTCCCGCCTGGACGAAGGAGTGGTACGGCTTCACCGACCGCGGGATGCAGTGGCTCAAGGACCACGGCGGCGAGTGGATCAAGGTCTGTGCCGACCCCGGTGACTTGATTGTCTGGGACTCCCGAACCGCACACTACAACGTCCCTGTCAAGGGCGAGATTGACCGCATGGCTGTCTACACCTGCTTCATGCCCGTGACCGACGCTACTCAAGAGGACCTTTTGAGGAAGAAGGCCGCATACGAAGGTAAAATGATATTATTCCACATATAATTGGGCATTTCGCTAACCCCTTGCCTGCGTAGCCCGCCTAGGAACTACCCACTGGCCCAACGCCAGACACACCGGCTCGAACGCTGCAGTTCGCAACGGAAAGCCCGATCACATTGTGAGGGACAGGCCACTGAACGACGCGGTGTTGAGTGAGAGAGCTTTCAAGTTGACCGGAATTCCCTATATCCAAACAAGCGCATGAGCTAAAAACACGGGCTCTTCTGGCTTCATCTTCATGTATTCAAAAGACATTGTCATTCGCTAGCATAGTGTACAAGAACAAGACTGCTATCCTTCAAACCATTGTCTCACCAGTGAAAACCGTGATATACACCGAACTTCGAGCAGGGCAAGGCCTGCAACGTGCCTTGTTGCAACATGCATCGCCAACAAGGGCCCTTGCCTTCAACAGACACTCATGCAGTACTCTTCAACGATGCATTGGCGCATGCATTGTCAATCACTGTATTCCGAGTCTTGCTCCGAGGATTTCGCGTCAAGATCCGAAGATCCTGGCTCTTTCTTCATGGCATCGCCATCCGTGAAGAATTCCCGATTCCGCGGATGTGGTAGCTAAGAACAACATTAGCCCAAACCGTACCGAGCTGCGTTCGCCATCCGAGATGAGCCCAATCACGAAAGATGCCATCGCGACTCTATCCAATAGTTGCCACATAGCAGGGGAAAGCATATCCGCGATGATCCGCTCTTGGCCAAGGGCGAAGGCACTGATAAGACAATAACAAAGACGTCGCTTTCCGAACCGAAGCGTCGTGTCCAGTGTGGCACAGCAATCAAACCGAGGACTCCAACTCCGGGGTGCCGTGAGGGGCATTCTGCTGGGCCTCCCCTTGTTTGGCTAGTCTTCCCCGCAAACCAGCTGAATGGGTACGGAGCCCCGAACGACACTAGCGACTGACCCAAGCCCGGGGCCCCTCTCTCACAATCATCTGCACCCCAGCTTCCCCAGTCCGTACCCCAGGCCAAATCTTGGTGAAGGCTGGGGTAAGGGGGGAGAGACACAGCCAAGGAATCAGACACGTAGAGACGAGTGTCGTTGAGGCATGTCGAGTTCGGCAAATGGCAACGTCGACATTTGTCAGGTAACATCAATCACAGAAATAGAACCATCTTCCCCGGATTGTCTCTGGATGGGGAGTTCTGATCAACATCCTCATTTCACAGTCCTAATTTGAAGGACAGAGGACAGAACACAGTCATCCATAGGGATACCCAAGTTCCTCGTTTTATTTGAAATTCCACTATCAATCGCTCAAAGTTCTTCAAGATGGGCGAAACAGACAGCAAGATTACCGAGGAGAGAGTCGAATCCGCCGATCTCGCCCAAAAGCCCCCGATTGAGGATGGAACTTACAAGCCTAACGTGCAGTTGGCTGATGGAGACGTCACATATCTCATCCCGACTCCGAGTTCTGACCCTCGAGGTAAGTTATCTCGATGTAGTCAGCTTGAAAACCGAGTTGAACACTGGATTGGGAAGCAAGGAACTGACTTGACACCATCTCAGACCCTCTCAACTTGAGCAAGCTGAGAAAATGGGTAAGTTATCCAAATCACAGCGAAACGATAACATGACGATGTACTGACCACATCTTAAAACAGATCATTACGATGACCTGCGCTACCTTTGCCGCCGTTGGCTTGGTACAAGTTTCCGGACTCGGTGCACTCCTCGGCGAGTTTATCCCACAATACGCAGCGGAGGGACATGGCAGCTATGAGGACATCTCACACCTGATGACATACCCATCGCTCTTCATGGGTCTGGGTAACCTAATTGGTATGCCTCTGGCCCTTGCCGTTGGCCGTCGACCTGTCTTCCTTGGATCCTGCGCCCTGGCTGTTTTGGGATCCATCCTCTGTGGCACAGCCAAGACTTACAACTCGCATCTCGCTGCTCGCATGATCCTCGGTCTAGCGGCTGGACAGAGTGAGGCTCTTTGCCCTTTGATGGTTCAAGAAGTTCACTTCCTTCATGAGCGAGCCCGCTGCCTGATGTGGTTCACCCTATGGCAGTCTACCCTCAGCGGGGTCTACACCCTCCTCACATCTTATATCGCCGCCGGTATTGGCTCTTCCGGGTGGTACTTTCTCGGGGCCGGCATCGCTGCTTTAACCTTCCTCTTCGCCATCTTCATGGTGCCCGAGACCAAGTATGATAGACCCCTTGCTGCCTACCAGGGCCAGGAGGCCTCGGTATCTCGCTTCGTCACTGCTCATGCCCCGGGTGTCGACGATACCACTGGTGTCTACACCGAGATGCTCACCCGCAAGACGACCACTGAGCCTCGCGAACTCGACTTTGTCAACTTCAAGCCTCGCACTTTAGCCTCCGACATCCGCATTCTTAACCAGAAGCCCGACTGGAAGGAGGGTTGGCAATGCTGCACCGGCATGGCTATTGTCACCTTCTTCCCTGATATGATGTGGGCCCTACTTCTGAACGGCCTTACAATGTAAGATGCAGCCCGGGCGTTTGCCAACCTACCCACAAAGTTTCAGTGTACTGCCACTAACGTATTCTTCTCGACAGCGGCGTCAACATCGCACTTGGCACCACGTATGGAGCTATCTTGCAGGCAGCCCCCTACAGCTGGAGCTCTTCCGTCGTCAGCTTCGCCTTGACCGGCCAGATCGTCGTCGCCTTCCTGGCTCTGCCCCTTCTTGGCCGCGGCTCAGATTGGATCATTCAATACTTCGCTCGTCGCAACGGCGGCATTCACAAGCCCGAGTACCGCCTCATTCCTCTCATCATCCCCGTCATCGTGGGCACGCTCGCCTCCATCCTCTACGGTCAGGCGGCGGCACACCCGGAGAGGTTCCATTGGTTTGCCATCGTCTTCTCCATCAACGCTTACTACTTTGGCTTCGTGGGAGCAAACCAGGTTGGAATCACCTACGCCCTTGACGCCTACCCAACCCGCTCTGGCCCTGTGCTTGTCATCATCTGCGCCATGCGTGGTGTCATTTCCTTCGGCACTAGTTACGGAGTCACGCCGTTTGTCAACTCTATTGGATACGATGGAGCTTTTGGAGTTTACGGTGGGCTGACTGCTACCCTTGGAGCTGTCGGAATTGCTGTCTTCATTTGGGGTACCCAGATCAGAGCCATGGTTGCGAAGTGGGCTGTTGCGGAGACTAGTGCTACTCCGTCGTACAACCACTAGCACGGGATCGTGCCTTTGAAGGCTGAGATTCCCATTACAACTGGAATTTGCTGAAGCTTAAGAGGCAGTTCACGATGCAGGATGACAAGGTCAGAGACGAAGTTGAAATTGGGAACTCGAATTTGGAATGGGAACAGACACCAGAATAGCGAACATCATTGAATTAGTCGCTTTTGAATGATACTACGATAAATTCGAAATGACCCTTGTGTAAAAGCATGGTTCCTGACTGTACATTTAACCCCTAACTCAAGTAGGTGTTTTGAGAATGGGTATTGC